TCTCTTAAAAGTGAAGCTTAAAATTATGATAAACTTATATTAGACTTCTGACTTACTGTCCATCTTAATCATGGAAAATCCCAACCTTCGTGATAAGTATTGATCACCAGGCGAGTTAATTGAAGTTTAATAGAATTAAACTTGACCATCCCCAGCACCTTGCTACATTTTACACCGAAACTAAAGCTGGGCAAGAAAAAATTTGCTTTCAATAGGACTTCTTCCAAGTCACCAGCTGGAAAGTCAAACGTTTCAGGGTACCATGGACCCTCTCCGATGCCATTGTATGTTTCTCTGTTTCCTTTTTCGACCCCTCCTTCATCGCAACCCCTTATTCCTGTTTCTATCAATTCTCTCTCCCTTCCTTTGCATCCTTATCCTTCTCTACCTCTTCCTTCTACTTCTTTTACGAAAAACCTATTGCAAAATAGACCTCTAGCTTCTGATTCTTCGAACACGAACGACCTAGAAAGTCAACACTCATCTAACTTTAGCACCACCGATTCTGCCAGTTACTACACCAATAAGAATGCGAACAATAACCTTAGGCTTGATAACATCAATGATACCAATTATACAATTCATCATTTAAGAACTATTAAAAGTAGCATCTCCGATATTCAAAGTGTTTTTGTTGGCGTGCCAGAGGATCGGAGGCCGGACCCAAATGAAGGCTTGAAAACAGGACTCATTCTAGCTTCTGGCCTCCTCCTGGCTCTTGCATATTCATTCTACAAATCGCGCTGCAAAAAGCCAGGAGAAATCTACGAAGAGGTGATGGTTCGTCGCTGCCAGTCTGATCCGGGTCGCTGTGTCGAGTGGGCAGCCCATCGAGTTCGCCGGAAATACAAGGAGCATTTATATGAGAGCTTGGCTGATTTGACGCCACCTGCTAGCCGCCAAGTGATGAAACAAGACAAGGTCCTCTGCTGGTTGGCTGTGCATAAGGCGCATTGCGAAGAATTCATGGACAAAGAGAAAAATAAGCACAATAGTGGAAATGAGAAACGATTTATTACAGAAGAAGAAGAAAAAATAACTCACCAAGCTTGCAAAAAGTACGAATTTAGGGGCGGGAAGCATATGGAAGGAAGTAAAACTTGGATTGATCTAGAGCCATTCATATTTGATGGAAATACTTTTATCGAAGAATCGTATACTCCTGACTTTAATGAGGTTTACAGTGAAATGAGGCAAACCGTTTCTTGTATTAATGGACAAAGTAGGGTTATAAACACGGCCTGTTTGGGCAGAAAGAAATCTAGCTTGCTTTATACACAAGTTTCAACTTCAAATTTGACGAATATATCTAAAAAGAAAATTTTTGCATCTCAATATGCAAAGGCCTTACTTTCAGTTGAGTTAACTCAAAATATGTGCTCTATAACTGCCTGCCAATTTCAGCCAACACAGTTAATCTTAAATCAAACCAATCGCAAATACATCACATCAATTTCGTTGAGACGAACGCTCTCTTGTGGAGAAATCCTTTAGTGGAGCCGGCTATAATGTAAATGACAATAAAAATGGATGCGATGGAAAGCCTTAATAGATAGGATCTCGTGGTTGAATAAACCAAAGACAATAACCCAAAAGTAAAGAGCAACAGTTGAGTTCCGCTAAGTCTATGCATGCTGCGTAGTGAGAACTGCTAGAATCAATCAGAGAAAATTCCACGTAACTTCCAAGTAAACTAATTTAAATAATATCATAAACCTGAATTTATCTAATGATTCTACAAGTACTGAATCTTTTAAACAAGGTACTTCGACTTTGTAAAACGATTGCATTTTAATTAAATCAATTGGCCCGATGGCATAATACATTTCCATCCACAATTCAAAATTTACTTTTACATCCTTGACACAATAAATGATTATTAATATTTTATTGTATAATCTCTGCGAAATCGTATTCAAGAAACATTATTTCATATTGGTAAAAATGCATCAATTTATTCTAAAGCTAAATGCTTTTTGAGCTGCATTTAATATTATATACAGATACATATTTCACTACGTCAAATACAAAGTCGCAATTTATTTTTGAATTATTTAACGCATTTTAATAAAGTTATTACTAAATTAGACGTTTGATGCTCTTTTGATGTCTCTATTTTATAAAAATTCGTATTAGAGTAAAAAAAGGTGCTAGATGCTAGGCATGCAGCTTGATTTAGTCAATGGTAGAAAAGCTAGTCTTAGCTAGAGAGTAGTGACAACACTTTGCTTCTGCAAGCTCAAATCTCTCCTCTTTGTGCTGAGGAGAAGCAGATAAGATCAAAACAACACTATACTCTTGATAAGCCCAACTGTATTGAATAAAAGTTAGAGAATAGTTCAATGATAATTTATATATCTTAAACCTCAAATAAAATTGATACACCCTAAAAGTTATATTATTAAATAGTATCTACTTAAATAATGATATAAATAGTATATTAATTAAATAAAAATCTTTACTATTAAACTCAACTAATAGGAAGCCGAGATAAGGGCGCTAAGATAATATAGCCTTATGTTAATGTAAAAAAATAATTTCGTTACAGAGAGTTGCTGGGAATTCGTTTACGCAACTTATTTGCGATGTCAGTAAGATCTTTAAATACTTACCCAGTTCTGCATTAGCTGTCCTATTATGATAATTTCAAGCATCGGATTGTTGACTTGGTAAATTCCCAGAAGACTTGCTGAGGTTGTAGACGGCGGCACAATTCTTATCACTTGACTAAATCTTGTAAAATTTACCAATGAAGCAGACCTTTTAGATCTATCTTCTGTCAAAGATTGCAGTATCTCTTCTTTCCGCTGCCTCTTATTTCCTAAGCCCGTATTTAAATCACCAATTTTGTTATCTACGCCTACATTTATTTTCTTCTTGGTCAAAAGCATCAAATTATTGAGCTTACTTTTATTTCGAGTGAAAGTGTTTGGCGAAGAGATTCGAAGGTCGATTCCACCAGAAAAAAATGGCGGATTCCCCTTGTCCAGCTGTTGATTGGCTTTAGTGGAACATTCATGGTGACGCTGTTTCCACGGTAATCTCCGTGGATTCCTGTGAAAAATGTGCTAAGCTTTCGTCCGTCATATGAAGAATATCATCCGAGCACAGTATCCTCGTCACAACCAAATTCAAGCTAACAAGTCAAGAAAACTCACCGGCGAATCCCTAAAAAGCGGTATATACTCTATCTATTCGGCCTCTTTGATCAGGTACAACGTGATTTGGTTATTTACGGTCATATGTCAACCTCTAAGCCTGTGTGTGTTTGCGTTTCTGTATGTGTATGCGTCTTTTGGTCTCTCCCATTCTATATAAACGTTATAACCATCATTCCTATTACGCAAGGTCGGACACACGCCTCCTTTTTGCAGGCGGATAAACACCCTCTCTATCCTTGAGTCTATTAATTAAGCACAAGTATTTTTGCTTATCTTCTTGCTGGCATTCCTTACATGCAATGTAATTCCTATTCGGCTTATTTCAATGGCCTCTCTAATTTTACGTTTAGCCGCGGACATGCCATAGTCAGCAAAACGAGAAGTTTGAGACAATTGAATCTCGTGTCCCGTTTCTGCCCTGTGCTCAGCCACCCTTTTCGAATAGGACGACAAATCTCTCCAATCTAAAAGCAACCACATGAACACATTATTTTATAGCAACCCAATCTTGATATTGGGTCAACATTCTCTCTAAAACTGGGCATAAATAAAGTGTCGTATTTTCCCTAGAAACCGTTTTTATTCCCCACTTCCTTACTTGTTCAGCTATCCTTTCAGAGAGAATGCACAAGGGTAAAGACAAAACATGAGCAAAGGTCTCCTTATCTCTCCTTACGTATTCACCATTCAAAAAGCTATTATTTATTAATTTAATGCTATTTTAAATCAAGCATAGGATATATTTATTTTCCATAAATATTATTTTAAGCCGATTCAGTTCATTGTTACAATGCTCTACATCGGCTAGCCTTATGCTCCAAATAATCATAGATTTTAAAACTCCAACCTCTGTTTTGTAAATATGATTGGAGAAGAAGTTAATTATAAAGCCAGCATTTGTTGGCTTTCTATAGACATCCCTGCTTAACTTCTCACTTGCTCTGATCACTAAAACATATAAAAAGGGTAAATTATTGTTAATCTCCATCTGCATTATTAACTTAACATTGCAGTCAATCTTGTTAATTAAGAACAAAAAATTATCTAAACTATCCTTTTCATTTTGTCATATGGCAAAGTAGTCATCCATATATCTAAATAACAGTTTGGGCGTCAATCTTACCTCTTTATGAAGTGTTCCTCCCTTTTTGACTTGTAAGTATTAGCTAAAATGGGAGCCAAGCTAGATCCCATTGCTAGGCCTTGCACCTGTTCATAAACCTTGTCATTAAAGGTAAAGTATGTGCTACTCATGAATAGATTAAGTAACGTTAAGATTGAGCTTTTGCTTATATTTGCTTCCTCAATCATTTCTTGGTGCTCATCTAAACTGAGTGTTAGAGTTTTAATAGCTTTCTGAACTGGAATGTTAATATACATTGATGCTACACCAAGACCAACCAAAGACTCTGTTGATCTATTAATCTAGCAAATTCATATAAATTCTTCACTCAGCCACTTTCATTAATTGTCTGCATAAAAAACGTGAAATCCTATGCATCGCAGTTCCCTTATTATAAAAAATCAAGCTTAAAGGAACTCCTTCCTTGTGTATTTTTGGAAGATCGTAAGCCGAAGATGCCCTAGCATCCCTTTGAAGAAGTGAATTCATTTAGAACTTCTTAATTTCTCCTCTATTTACATAGACGTTAAACGATTCCCTAAGTCTGTGAGATCCTTTACTAAAAGTCTGTAAGTTTCTGAGTCATTTAGACGAACTGTCATTTTTTCTATATAACTTAACCTATCTATGATGACCACTGCACTACCTTTATCTGCCTTTAAAACAAACAGATCCTCTTTGTGCAGATATCTATAAACCTTATTTAAATCATAAGATTTCTTTGGAATAATTGTCTCATCAAAATGAGGAATCACTTCTTTTCATTTAGCATTCTTAGCCTCTTCTGGCAACTTGTCTGTTAAGTTAATTAAATCAACCAGTATCTCGATAGAATGATCTTGCTCATTTGGAAAGGCAAAGTTTAGACCCCTTTTCAACAGGAGCGTAACATTAGCATCTATTGGTAAACTGGTTAAATGAATGACTTTATTTTTGTTAGGACAAATAGCACTAAGTTTAACGACCTTATTGTTTCGACGATTCCTTTAGCTAATGTTAATGCCTAAATTC